TATGTTTCTATTATATTGCCCAATACAAAATGTTGTCATGGGAAGAAAAAAAAAAAAAAAGATTTCTTTGGGGTTACAACCTTCTCAGAAAGGATACGAAAAAGGGCTAAGTGTTAGTACATGGAAGCCAGGTAGAATGAAACCAGTCTCATCAGCTCCATTCCATCAGAGAAGCAAAACAGGTTTTTAAAGTTCTGGTTTACTAAATGTCTGTTTTAAATGCGTTACATCTGGAGAGTTTAAGTAGGATCTTTAGCTTCAGTACTTTCTAAGTTTTAAGGTCTTCTCTGCAGCCAACAACATTGCAGGGTTAATTTAAAAAACTAGACATTGAGAACTTAAGCTGTGAAAGGTAGCTTCAAAATTTGCACCTGGTGCTGAGACACCCTGAAACTGTTAGTGGTTTAATAACCTTTTCCAAAGAGGTGGTTTCCCCTACTGATGTGAAATGCCCAATGAACAGGGGAAACAGAAACAGCCCCTTTCCATAACCTTCACCCCTCAAAACTGCTGTACTTACTTATGTGCAAGTAGTCTCACATATGACTCATCTTCGTAAACAGTTAGGCCTCTGACCCTACATAGGAGAAGGGAAACCAACCACATACTGGAAAGAGGCAGACAGCTGCAAAGTCTCTGCGCAGATAACACTGTACCCAAGATACTGCCTGTATTTCAGTCTGTAGCAGGCTTTACAGTATAAGGACTTTTCAGCAGAGGATCTCAAAGCTCAAAAAATAACCTTAACCTCTTCAGCCCCTCCAAAAGAAGGCTGAGAGGGGACGTTGTGGTGGCGTACAAATTCATAAGAGGAGAGCAACATGAAGTAGGCGATGATTTGTTTACCGGGGCACACTCTGGCACAACAAGGAACAATGGCCATAAGCTACTGCAGAGTAGGTTTAGACTGGACATTAGAAAAAAAGTTCTTCATGGTCAGGGTTGCCAGGATCTGGAATGGGCTTCCAAGAGAGGTGGTGCTTGCCCCATCCTCGGGGGTCTTCAAGAGGAGACCCCCGAGAGCTGGCGTTCCACCTAAGTCTCTTACTTTAGAAACTTGAGAGTTTCAACCAGTCACAATGGTCCTTCTTGTTTTCTGTCGATTCCCAGCAGAGCACAGCACCAGGAGGGGCTCAATGCTATTCAGTCTGTTTCCCCATGGGTTTGGTACCTCACAATTCCAAGTCGTGCCTCTGCAATTTGGAAGATCTCCCCCATCCTCCCACCCAGCCTGCCCGTCTGGCAGGCCACAGACAAGCAAGGAGCCGTCCTCCTGCCTCTAACACCAGTACAATTGCAAAGCAGCAAGACCGAGATGAAAATTAGTCTGACAGACCCATTTGCTTCTGGGCTCCCTGCCCAAGGCTGTCAAAGTCCTGCTTTCAGCAGCCAGGCCATGGCTTCTGTAAGTAGAGACAAGAGGTGGAGGGAAGGGGCTCAAACAGCTACCCACCTTAGCAACTGTTGCCTTCAAGTCACTGCAAGCAGTGTCAGAGGCTTTGGGCTGCCTGCCAGTCAATAATCAGGTAAAGTAGAGATGGTTCTTTCCAGAAGCAGGAAGTATTTAGCCCCCAACAATGCTGCTTCTAGGATCACAACAAGAGTTGTGTTTTTAATGAGTGCCAGGCTGTTCCCTTATTATTCAGCAGTGAGGTCAGACAGCTCAACATGAACAGTTTCATTAAGCACCTGTCAACACAGGGCAGACTCTCACTTTCCCCAGCTATCTCAGATTAGAAGCTACAGCCAGAGACTGCCAAGGAAACCACTGCCACTCCCATGAAAGGGTCCATCAGAGCTCTACTGCTAATGAGGCCCATAAGCAGCAAGGGGGCCAACCTGCTACCAGGAGCAGCAGGGCTCCACTTAACACAGACCAGGGAACAGTAAAGCTGCAACTCCAAGGCCCACTGCAATCAAGGATCTCTGGCCACTCTGCAAAGCTGAAAGATTATCTGCTCAGATGGGGAAACTGAGGCACAGTGTGAAACACCTTGCTTGAGTTCTAGATGTCAGTCAGTTGCAAAGCCAGACACTGAACCCAAATCACCAACTACTGGACCTTCCCTGCTTCAGTCGAAGTCTAAATTGTTAACCTTATCAGGAGATGAGGGTTCAAAAAAAGAGGATGGAGCTAAACTGTTCTCCGCGGTGAAAGACACTGGAAAAAGGTGCACCCACCTCAAGTTGCAGCAAGGGAAGTTTAGGTTAGATATTAGGAAGAATTTTCTCACTAGGGAGGTAGTAAAACACTGGAACAGGTTAGCCGGAGAAGTTGTGAACTCTCCATCCTTGGAGGTTTTCAAGACCCAACTGGACAAAGCCTTGGAAGGGATGACCTAATTGGGGTGGTCCTGCTTTGAGCAGGGGGTTGGACTAGATGACCTCCTGAGGTCCTGGTATAACCATAATTTTATTCAATTCTATGAGAGTCTGGTTCTGCCACCCCCTGGTTCCAGCAACACTAAAACCGCTTCAACTACCTGCTGTGATTTATACCACCAGAACCTCCCCAAGGAATCTCAGCCTTATTATTAAGTGGATATAACACCTTCCATCTCAAGCAATTAATACAGATTTAATGGCAGTCTCTGCTAGGTGCTGGGGCAGCAGAAGACATTTTATTGCATCACTGGGTATAGACTGCACTTTTATATATAATCTGGATTTTGACTGGCTGCAAAATTTTGTTTTACTCAAGGGTTCCGATTAGCCAACCCCGACTGCTCCAGTAATCAGTGTCTTGGAAATTAACTAGTTCTTTCTGCACTAACCTGCATCAACGTCAACATTCTTACAAAGCCCCATGAATGGGAAGTGAGCTTTAGTTGCAGAAAGAGTGAAACAGTTTTCTAAGTTGCTAAGGCTTCAAAATATGCAACAGCACTTTTACTATTCTCCAACAGTGTGGCAAATAGCTGAATCAAAACAGCTAAAATTAACTAGGCATTTTATTGGGAACTATGCTTGAGATTTACTTGAGCTTTTTTGGGGTGGGGTGGAGGAGTTTGTAGAATTCAGTCACTCATAATAGGCCAGGCCTTAGTTAGGGGCTATTTTTTTACACCATGAATGCAAGGCACGTTAAAGGCAGTAAGACTTCAGGAGACGCTTATGATGGGTTCCAGAAGTACTTAAAAAGACAAAGGAACTTAAAAACCCACTGTGTGCAACATGGGAAACTGAACTCAGCCTGTTCCAGTGACCCAGTATTTGATCTCAGGCAAGAGGGAGAGATAGAAGGAGCAAGAATTCACATCACACACTTTTCAAGCAGGGGTAAGGGCCATGAGGGCAAACTACATCTAATTACACTAGTTACTGGCTACTGATTGTCCTCCCCACCTCCCTGCTGCCCCAACTAAAAAAGGGGTCTCCAGGTACCAATCTGCCTGTGAAAAGAAGGACTCAGTAGCTACTAGACACTAACCTCTAAGACACTTGCCGTCTTCAGATGGAAAGCCAAGTAAATAAGAACTTGCTGAATGTCTGCTGCAAAGTTCCTGCCGCTGTGGTCACCTAGCTCAGAGAAAGGATTACAAGCCCAAGTGGTACCAGTAATTTAGGCCTGTCCACAGTAGGTTGCTGAAACATTCTGACTTCCTCTCCATAAACTGCTCTATACTTTATGATGGACTCACGTACAACAGCAGAAGAGTGCTCCCCTTGTTGAGAGAGAGAGAGAAATAATCAGGATTATAAATCTAAAGTTTTATTGAGACAAAAAAACTGACAGAGCTTGGTATGAAGTTAAAATCCAAACACTTACTTTACATTTAAACAACGTTTTCACAGAAACCTAAACACATGCTTTTAAAAAAAGGTTTGTACAATGCAAGTCTAGATACATACCACCCTACGAGGAGGTGCCCAGAGTCTGTCAGGCCTCACACAACTCCAGACATTTAAATATTTCAGGGTTTGGGAGTTTTTTTTCTTTCTTTTTTTTTTTAATAAATCTGTTCGATTAAAAAAAGTTCAGCAGAGGATCAGGGCAAATCACCTGGCTCCAGGGCCAACGCTTAGGTTTTAAAACAATCATTTGCTACTGAAGAATTTGGAATCCATTTAAGCTTGTGCTGTCGTTGATTTCATCTCCCTCCTATGTTAATGAATGGGATTAAAATTGGAGGGGGAGAAAAAAAATATATACAAAAAGGAGGATCCCGATGCTGCTGGCTGGACACGATCATGCTGCGTTTAAAAAGAAAGTCAACGAGAAATTGGAAGCATCTCTCCCCCCCCAATTTTGAAAAATAGCACCTTTAACAGAAATGAGGGCAGACAAGCTTTTAAGGGGTGAATAGCCACTCCTACGCCATACCCTGCCCACCCACTTCCATGACAAACACCCTGGCAGTTCTGTTTGAAGACAATTCATAAAGCCCTAACTCCCTACCGCCCACCACCCTTACCCCTCCACACATAAAAATCGCTCTAGGCATTTGAGAAACTTGGCTCTAGAGTTTTGGACATTCACAGCTTCAGTCTCATGTCAGTGTCCCTGGCCCCCTAGTTCTGTTACCAATACTTGGGGTTTTTGTGAAGAAAAAGGGTGTTTTCTTCTTTAAAAAAAAAAAAAAAAAAAAA